AAAATCAACAAAATTTATTCTTTTTGATGGAATCAACAAAATGTATCCTTATTCTACTATATCTTTTAGAATTATGTACTTTAACTAATTACAATCCCTTATTTTGTGCCACTTAATTAAACTAATTATAGTAATCAAGATTCAAAAATATACTCCTTTTTTCTCCCGTGCTCTGCCTAGGGTTGGGGGTGACGACGACGGGTTTCTCCTTAGGGTTTCTCTCTGATTACGAGTTCCACCCTCTTCCTCTTCTTTTCCAGCAAGGGTTTCTCCTCTTGCTCTCTTCTTCATCCTCGTCGTCTGTCTTGCTTTGGAAACTTCAACCCAAGGGACCACAAGGTAGCGACTCCTTTTGATTGACATCAGTTGTTGATTTTTGACGGCTGTGTCTGGATATCGAGGGACTTGATCTTGTCGGTGGTTGGATTTCTCCCATTCACTGAGTCAAATTTTCACTTAGGCATGTCTTCTTAGATAAGATCTTGGCGAGGGTTGCATTTAGAGAAACTAGTGCACTCCAATTTCTGACCTGGCAGCCAAATATCAAAGGACATGGCTGTTGTTGGCACTTTGGGTTTTGATCTACTCGGGAAGCATGCTACTCACATTGGCAAAAGGGCTTTAGTTCCCTTCACAAGCTTTGCCAGCAAGGGTTTTCAAAGGATCAGGAATGATGGGCACATGATTGGAAGTATTTGGCGGAGATTGGGGAGGCTTGTGTTTGTTCGGAGACTTGGTCAAGAGGAACAGGATGCCATTGGTGAAGTTGATTATGTTTTGAAAGGGGCTCTAGTTCCTTCCACAGTTTGGGCAGCAAGGGATTGAGCAGGATTGGTAAAGCGGAGGCATAGGCTTGTGTTGAGGGGGTTTTTACCCCTTTTCCTGTTGGGTAATTTTGTGATAGGGTGGCAACATGCAGGTTGGGGACTATTTGTTGTCGAAATCCTTGCTCTCCCCATTAAGCTTGTTAAATAGGTAAGAAAGTCTAGTAGTTTTGATGCTCATAGTAACTCTTTTTTCTAAATTTGTAGCCCTATTTAGCCCATACAGCAATTGCATTCATAATCTTTAGTTACAAATGTCTCTCTTTATTTAATTATCTATATTTGTCATGGGCATAGTTAAATCTACTACTAGTGCGGTAGGTTATTCTTCTGATTTTATTTTTAGGCTATAATGCTTTAGGCTATATGCCCGTAATGGAAATTTCTTCTGTATTTTCTTATTATTTAATATAATTTTCTCCATTTCCTATATATAAAAAAAAGATTCAAGAATATACTTAATTTTTATAAAATTAAATTTCTT